TTAAATTATATTAATTACTAACGGCCGCTTACATTTGTAACAGAGGTTTTGACACGATAATCGATAATTTGTAGTGATTACTTTTCTTCAACGAACAAAATTAAAGAACGGTGCGCCTCTAAGATCTCAAACAAACTTTAATTTAGCGTGTGAGCTAACTATTTATGACCATACATCATACCAACTTAAAGGGTAGTTAAACAGCAGCCAGTTCCCAATAAAAACAAATTTTACAGAAATCGCTTACTATGAATTACATTAGCAACTTTTACGTTCGTAGGTTGGTATTTTTAATTTGATGACCTAATTAAGTGTAATTTTGTGAATTACTATTATTGGCTTTGTGGCATATTTCATTACAGGTGTAATTTATCTATTGTATCTCCTGGAAGGAGGCCATGTTTATCGGTATTGGCGAGCGTTGCACAAGGCTCTCTCTCGCATTTTTTCCCAACCTCCTTACGACCCGAGCACTTCCGAACAGGAAGCTAAGTAAAATCATAATAAACGGCCAACCAATCCTGTGGAAAAGAAAGTCGATTTCTATTTCGCCTCTGGAATAAAATACACGACGCTTATCAGTCTATAGGAGACAGAGTCGTGTACATTTCGGCCCAGTTCTATAACTTACCCATAACTGCATAAACTTCAGGTTATTCAAAGTAAGTTCACCCAACACGCAACCAATGCTAGGTGGCAACTTCCTCATCCTATAGGTACGTAGCACACACGTCATAACATAACACTTATACCCTATAATAATTAATTATATTAGGGTATATTACCCTATAATAATTATTTTAGGGTATATTACCCTATAATAATTAACATAATTATTGCACCTACCACGATTTCTCACCACGCCCCGGGTTGACTGGGAGAGAATGCCAAAAGGCATTAAGTCGCCCTTTGCAATCCCTGCTTAAGGTAATTGCAATAAAGAATAAATAAATAAATAAAATAAATAAATATACCCACACAGTGCTAACACATATAACATTATTAGTTCGTCCTCCCATAAGAGAGCGGCGAAACCAACACAACGCGTACAGATTCAAACGCGTTTTCGCCGCCCCCAGCCACCGATTTATACACTCAACGGCCATCGGGGTCACGGAAACGAACCTCGATAGCCCGTAGGTGACATTCCTCCTGTTTAAGATAATGCACGCTTGAACACATGCATCCCTACATAACACACAGCGCCATGTCAAGCTCGTCACTGGCTATTCGATGAAGCTTTAATAGTCTTCAGAGAGAAAGCAGTCTTTAAGCAAAAGTAAAAGTAAAAGCTAAATTGATTGTCAGTAAAGCTGTTGGTTTTGTAAAAAGGAAATAATAATACAATCACATTTCTCTGAACATATTTAATAATATTCTCTGACAATTAATCAGAGAATTTAATCTCGAAATAACCAGAAACATTTAAGAACTACGCTTAGTAAAACCGATTTTTTTGTATTCATATCCCACTTTTACAGACTTTTTATTATGACAGTATTCGAATTAATTGGTTTGTTCAGAGGATCGTACTTGTTTAGCCTTTGTGTCTTCTTATTCACATTTCCGAATGCATCTACGTTATACACATCAATTCCCATAACACTACTATATGCTTTAAGGATTTAGCAACAGTTTTTCAAATATTTACAACACAATTGCTAAAAGAGCCTCCATATTTCAAAATAGAAAGAACACGTTAACTAATAGTGTCATCAATAGTTCACACGAGTAGACGTTCATTACATTATATTGGTTCTTTTATATTTGAGTGATGATAAAAAACATTGCTAAAAATTGTGTGTCTGTTCCAAACGCGTGACAATTTGACAGTCGCGCCATTATTGCTGTCAAATATTTTTGTGAGCGAAGCAATTCGTAGAAATCATGTTTACCTGCAATTTTTTTATTTACTTAAATATATATGATTTAATGTTTCAAATAAATTATATAAATAATAATAAATATTTAAAAAGGATGAATGATGATTATGTCTATGTCTTTATGACTTTAAAAAGTCAAGATCGCTTAGCGATATTTAACCTGTGAAATTTGGCAACGTCTCGCCTTGCCGCCATATCACCATAGGTAGTTTAAATTAATACCGGAGAGTCAAAAACAAAATGCTTTGAACGTGATTAATGGCATTACAAAGGCTATACAATATATTAGGGCGGGCGTGGCTTTGACAGTCGGGGTGGTAAGAAATCGCAGGGGTGTTTGAGTTGCGGCCCAAGTCACAAGCTTTTACTTATTCTTCTAGGAACTCTTCCACATTTTAATATAAAGCTCGTTTTATAATCGTATTAACATAAATTCACCTAAATTTAGAGGAAGGGGGCACACAGTTAACGTATGTACATCATAATGCAGTTTTTAGAATATTTTCTATTTAGGTTTTACGTTCAAAAAGAATATAACTATTAATAAAATATGACAATAAAGTCATCTATAACGATTTGCGACATCTTTATTAAAACTATCACAGGAAAATGGTTATTTTATTATTTATTATTAACTGATGTTTGTGCTTTCAGTCCCGAGACTATTAAAGCTTTATCTGACGCAGAACCGGTGAGCTAGCTAGAACCCACGGGTTTGGGCCCTGTGGGAAGGGCCGCGCATGTGCTCATGCGTGCGTTTAACTACGACATGTCATCTAAGGGGCATCGAAGTGCGGACCGAGACCCCGATTGCCGTCGACTGTGATTTTAGCTAATCGGTGGCTGGGGGCGGTGAGAACCGCCCTGGAACGCGGGTGTACCTTGTGTACGCGTTGTGTTGGTCTCGCCGTGCTCGGAGGCGAGGGCGAACTAATGTGTTTGTTGCTACACTAACTGTGTGTGTAGTGTTATCCGGCGGGACCCCCGACGGTGGGTCCGACGTATCTAAGTCCCCTTCCTCGACCGGGTCGATGAGGACGTTTCGCGGGCGACGCTTGTTGACGTTCGCGTTTGGATCGGGTTGGTAATTTGCTGCGCTTACCACCAGACGGTTGGGATGCTGTTCGGCTCTATCGAAGAACCGTTTGGTCAGGTCTTTGAAAAATTCGCGAATCGTCGGGAGTCTGCAATCGCTGTGCAGGTCGACGTTGCGTTGATACCACTGCGCACCGGTTGCGCGGCGGATGAATTTATTTTGCACTACTTGCAATTTGTGCAAGCGAGGGTGCGTGTGGGTGAAAATCATGCATGCGTAGGACATGATTGGCCGTACGAGGAAAATGACTTCGTTATCTAACGATTATATCGAAACAAAATATAATAAAAGTTTGAGAGCTTCAGCTCAAATACACTTATTGTTACGCTTAGATTTTGACAAATTAATTAAATGAAATGAAGAGGTATCGAGTATTATCTTCGTAATTGATTTTCGCCACCGCGCCATACCGTTTTTTTATGGGAAAAAGAGCCGAATGAGCAACTGGGTCAGCTGATGGTAAGCGATAAACACCAAACTTGGACACATGCAACATCGGAGGAGTCACAATTCCATTGCCGGCCTTTGACGGCCTATGTATCAAACCGCGTTCGCTCATTTCATGTTAAGTCGATCATCTCAAATAAATCTCGTCACATGCCATAAATAAATATTCACAGTATCTGGAAATACTACGAAATTTTCGCCCTATGAACAATGCAGATATTATGTTACTAAAAGTTATTTAACTAAAGCCTGGTAACTATTACGAACTTGCTAAATTCTTTAAATCACAACCATTATCGATCTCTGTTTCAATCTTCGGTTTTAATTTAAAAACGCCGTCGCCTGTCGCCCGCGCCGCTACAATCGGGAACACGCTCCCGCGCTGTTTGTAATGGTGTTGTAAAACGATTAGGGTGTTTAGCGTTTAGAATTCCACGGTTTTATGCCGATTCCGGGGCGTCTTTAGTTAATTGAGACGCGCCAGATCCAGGGCTAATTACGTGTGTACGGTGCTAGCGGATCGATATTCGATTTTCAAATTGGTGTAAAACCGATCGCCGGTATCGGATCCTGCTGATTCGTAGACCTTTAAAGCCAATGAGATTAATTAACACACTCAACCAGATTTGATGGACCATGATGATGGACGTGTTTATTGCAATTAAAAATGATCAAATTTAAGTAAAGATCAGGGTTGGGCACCACCGAGAAATGCTATAAAACACGACCTCAAAGAAGTGTTATACTTTTGCACTGCGTCTGGTGAGTGAGGTAGCCGGGGTACACTTTAATGAAAGGTGGCAACGCATCCACAAACCCACGGGTGTTGCAAATATCAATGGGCAGTGGTTATCACTTAGTATCAGGTAAATTGCGAGTTCGCTTACCACCTTCTCACATAAAACACACTTTTATCATGATGCACCAACATGCCGCGTCAACCAGGTTTTTTACATGTAATTTACTTAGTATTTAATATTGAAAATTGTATTGTGGAGTAGTACTAGTGTTTTATTTTCCTCAAGCTCCAAGTGGCGAATAATTGGCCTGCGTTATTAGTTACCCAGATTTATCTGATTTTGGATTTACATTATGAATAAACTTTATGAAAAAACTTGAACGTAAGTGAAATGAATAGGGGTATTCAATGAAATGTGACTTGTAAATGTCTTTAAGTGCGCTATAAATAATTTACAAGCTAGCATGGGCATGCTCGTCCGGGTAAGTACCACGACCTCACAGAAGACCGGCGTGAAGTGGAAGTATAACACTTTCGCGTTTCGTCTGGTGAGTGAGGTGGCCGGAGTCCAATTCTCAAAAGGTTGTCAACGCATCTGCAGCCCTCGGGAGTAGCAGATGTCCATGGGCGCCTGTATTCACTTAACATCAGGTGAAACGCCTGCTCGCTTGGCAACTTTTGACATAAAAAAACCTTCTTTTATATTTGCATCGGGAATAAAGTCCGCCTACAAAAAAGATTCTTAACATAATTATAGTATCAGTAGAAAGAAGCGTGATACGTACATTCCTCGGTCTTATCTCGACAACTCATTTCAGATTACCGACAGCCGATGATGGGCAACCCTTGGCCGATTGCCAAGCCCATTGCCAGTCGGCCGATACCAGTGCAGCATCAGCACTTGCAACACCTGCTCGCGCATTGCCATCATCCATACTTAGCCGGTAAGCTCACCATACTCATAAGAAAACGCCGAAGTATTGTTTAAAAGTAACAATGCTTGTATGGAAGTTTGTGTTTATTAATACGTATACCCGAGTATTTTTTTTTAAAGAGATCGAATATTGAAAATTAGATCGATGCTACTACTAATAACATACTGTGGTAGGGCTAAGAAACAACTTTGGCTGCACGGATGGGCAGGTTCCGCGTTCCGTGCAAGTATAGAACTTTGCGTTTCGTCTGGTGAGTGGGCCTAGGTACTTATTGTAAAAGTTGTCAACGCATCTGCAAACCTGCGGGTGTTGTAGAAGTTCATGGGTGGCTGTAATCATTTAACATCAGGTGAACCGTGCGCCTGCTTCCTTGACAACTTTTCACGTAAAAAAATATTAATTAAAAACCGTCAAATTTAAAAACGTTTGTGGCCCGCACTTAACTATCCGAAATAGCGCTTTGTAAAATTATAGATTCCTTAACGGACAATAAGTTCAGGTTTAAGTGGCTTACTGCGTTCGCTGCCAATCTCAATCTTCCATGATTGCTTACAAAAAATACGACAATGCAACAAAAGACGGTCTGCAAAAATCATAACCTCAAAAACGCGTTATACCTACCTACTAATGCGCCAAAAATCATAGCCTTTTCGACATTACACACTGCACAGATAATAATGGGTATTGTGTAAATGAAAAAAAATTGTATGCGAAGCTTTCAATCGAAAAGCTTGTTTAAAGTGTTTTTTTATTTAAGTTTTATTGGCATTGCCGATTAAAAGCAATTTTTTTAATTACTACACTTAGGCTATTTTATATATTTTGATAAACTTTCATATTATTATTAGATTATATTTTGTATATGTCGAACAACAAACTTATTGTTGATTTGCTCCGTGTTTAATTAAAATGACTAAAAATTATAACTCCAACATGGTTTTGACTCAAAACGCTTCGATTCGATTCTGAAGTTGATAAAAAAATTTACTGTTTATTGCAATATAATGATACTATTAATCGTTCTCGATAACATTTGTGATTCTATAAAAGTTTTACGGTAGCCTATTATAACAATACTTTGGACGCGTTTCTTTTGAAAGTGCGGTCGATTTCCTTTCAACAATAGAGTATTTATTAACCTTCATCAAATATAACTTTATCAGCTACGTGGAATGTTTTTTTGGGAGATTATCTCGTCGTGTGTATTGTGCGTACGTTTGTCTGTTTTTCCGTCAAATTAGGCGTGCGAGTACCGCAGGGAGCTTTAGTTATTCCAGTGTTATTGTAATTGAACAGAATGTATAAAATGGAATTAAATTACTTTAATACAATTAAAAATCATTCATTAAAATATAGTAACGAATAAGTTTTGAATGAAATAATTTTTAATAAAATAAAAAAAATCATTGGTTCAAATATAGTAATCAATAACTTTTTAAGCGATGTTTTAGTATAATCTATCATGTTTTATTGTTTCTTGTAAGTATTAAAAACTCAAGTGTATTGTAAATCATTGTCTAATTGTGTCATTATTATTTCATTGTTAGTAATATTGCAGAATACCGGTAAAGTGATATATGATATAAAATGATATGTCGTCACTTATTTATGAATTAAATTATATCCTTTTTAAATTGAATTAATTTTGAAAAAAATCAAACAGTTGGAATTTGTCTTCGATAGTAGCTGATGTTCTCTTATTTAATGAATTCTAAAAAAATAAATCTAAGAATAAAGTACAGTAAGTTAATCGTAGTATTTTGGAACCCGTTGTATGAAGTTCCCGCTTGTTCTACAAGCTGATTTTGTAGCGGTTTTGGGGACAGTCAGTCAAAGTCAGTTTCTTTATTTTAAGCTTAATTTAAGCTCTTATCGAATTAATTTATAAGCTTAATTTTTTTTTAAAAAGATAGACATTATTCATCTTTCCTTTTCAACTTTAAACAACAGTGTAAGTCCGTTTTCTGTTAAAAATAAAAATAGCCTTTATTTACTTACTACTTATTATCTTAACTATATATCTTATTAATAATAATATTATAATATGCTAGTAGTAGTCGCCTCTGCGGCGTAGGCCTCTCCTAAACCTTTAGAAACAGCTCTTTCCCGAGCTATTTGCATCCAGTGGTTACCACACCTGTGGCTGAAAACGTCTCTCCATCTTTTTCCAGGTCTCCCTTTTCTCCTTTTCCTATCCCTTGGTTTCCCGTTTTCTGTTAATTTAAGTAAATAACATGTGTGTTTTGTTAGCAGTACGGCCGGCGCAAGCTCACACTCAAGTTTTCCCGCTTCCCGGGGGATTCCCGTGGGCGCATAGTTCGAGAGGTGATCTTAAGTTAAACCACATTGAGACATTTGTCACGCTCCACTACAGACATACCTAGTCATTTTGTAAAGTATCAGTAGATAGATATACGTCCCACTGCTAGGCAAAGGTTGAACAAAGAGCATTGTCTGCTATAAAATGACGAAATGTGATTTAAAATTATAAATGCGAAAGTTTATACAATTAGTCTGCGCGTGTTCTTCCCACATCATGAGCTAACAGCCGAATGGATTTGAAAGTTCTGACGATGGCAGATACGTAATTGAGACGTGTTAAGTGGTCGTTTGCTGTAAAGCACCACAGTAGATTCACAAAGCATTGCGGAAAATGCAATAAAACAAAATAGAATCACTTCAACAGTTTTGTTGGTGTGAAGATGAGGCATTAAGCTCAGTGGCTAGAGCGTCGGGTGCGTATCCTGGACCGCGTAGGTTCAAATCCACGCACAGGCGAAAAACTTTTCGTCTATTTTCCTATAAATATTCAAATTTTATCTTAAGTGCTATAACATAAATATAATAAAAAACCATATTTCTACTTCATGTCATTTAAAAACTGTCTATTCGATTAAGAATCTAAGCAGAAGAAGCGAGAGTAAGAGATGTCCTGATGCTTGTCCAGGTAAACCGCGTCGCGGCATGATGCGCCGTGCCGTGTTCTCCGACCTGCAGCGGAAGGGTCTGGAGAAGCGGTTCCAGGTGCAGAAGTACATCTCAAAGCCGGACAGGAAGAAGCTCGCAGAGAAACTCGGCCTGAAGGACAGCCAGGTTAGTCCAAGTTAGATGCTTTCTGTTTCCCTTCTGAAATCCAAATACTGAACCATTTGAACACCATTTTGAATTGAAAATGAACGTAGCGTCTTTACGATAAAGAAACAGCACCACGACCAATTACGCAATGATTAAATGGTTTCTTATAATTAACATAACACAACTCTGCGACTTTCTTTCTAAAAAGGACACCGGCTACGTCACACACCAGACGAAACGCGAAAGTATTATACATTTTTTTATGCGAAAAGTTGTCAAACGAGCAGACGGTTCACCCGATGTTAAGTGAATACCGCCGCCCATGGACATCTGCCACACCCGAGGGTTACAGATGCGTTGACAACCTTTTGAAAATTGGGCTCCGGCTACCTCACTCACCAGACGAAATGCGAAAGTATTTGTCATGCTTCCACTTCAGTCCGGTCTTCTGTGAGTCTTCTTCATCGGACGATCCTGCCAATGCCCTAAAGTAGAAGCAGCTACAGTGCCGTACCATAAGCGATTGTAACGCTAATTTCATCAGTAAAGTATATCGACAGTAGTAAGTGACTAGACTGTGTCTTGGAAATTTCCTTAAAAATAACTCAACAAATTACGTAGACCATAACAATGCTAACAGCTTTAACGCGGGGCAAACGTCATCGCATCGCGGCCCGAATAACCCTCAAGGGGAACTGGCAACTGGGGTGTTACAAAAAATTGTTACCCCAAGGGTATAATAGAAGGGAGGGGTCTGTCAGACGCAGGCGGCTAGGGGTGGAGTGTTGCCGCCCCCGCCGCCCGGGTGAGGACGCTTTAAAACAATTACCGGCTCCTGAACTCGATATTTGCATTTTGAATCTGTGCGCGCGACCATAGAGTTCGATTAGGTCTTTTTGTCGGCTGAAAGGGTGGCCTTCGCCTTTTCGGCGAGGCTGCGGATGTGGAGGCGCTTCCGCCGCCTGACGTTTTCGTTTTGGCGCCAGTTTGTTGTTTTTTTTTTTTTCACGAGCGGTGTGAAAAGAGAGATATGGCGCTAGCATAATTTTCCCTTCAAACCCTTCGCAATAATTCTAATAATCGTCCGAGATTTGAACCTCGGATATGGACAATTAACACTTTTTTTTGTAAATGAAACTAATTTTACGGATTAATCGCGTTTATTTTTAATTTTAGTTCCCGACGTTTCGAACCCTTTACAGCGTTCATGGTCACGGGACAGATGGTAGACGTCTGATTGTCAAAGTTAACCCGGGCTACCGTCAGTTTTTGTATTATTGATTTTGTGTCCGATCTATGCAGAGGGAGCTAATTGTATCTTGTCTTGCAGTAGTGGTTCTTTTGGGAAATTAAATCTAAGCCCAAAAGAACCACTACTGCAAGACAAGATACAATTAGCTCCCTCTGCATAGATCGGACACAAAATCAATAATACAAAAACTGACGGTAGCCCGGGTTAACTTTGACAATAACGAATAGTTAACGAGCAGACGGTTCACCTGATGTTAAGTGAACACCGCCACCCATGGTCATCTGACCACACCCGAGGGTTACCGATGCGTTGACAACCTTTTGAAAATTGGGCTCCGGCTACCTCACTCGCCAGACGAAACGCGAAAGTATTTGTCATACTTCCACTTTACGCTGGTCTTCTGTGAGGTCGTGGTACCTACCCGGACGGGCCTGCCCATTCGTGCAACAGCCGAGGCTGCTGCGTGGCCCTACCACCGTAGAAGACTTTTTTCATCTACGCTATCATCATAAGCTGTAAGACGTCCACTGCTGAACAAAACCTTCTCACTTAGAACCGACCCTAAAAAAGGAACGGGTTCTAAATTGGGTTATTTTTTTTTAGTTTTATTATTTGGAATTCAGTCTTTTATGAAGCGATGTTAAGATTTTTTTGCATTGGATTCTGTTTTGCTTCGTTTTGCATGTCGCTTCATATAAATTTCAATGGTCTTGCAAGTTAAATTACTGTATTGTGAGTGAGATATTTGGAGTCTATTTTGTTTTTTGTTAATAAAATGGTTTTGTTACCGTACATGAAATAAGCTAGTCTTTCTATTCCGATGGAAACCAAAAGAACTTGTGGAGTTGAGTAAAAGTGGGAATAAAATTGAATAAAAATCACTGTTATTTTAATTTTCATGTTTACGATATTCCGTCAGCCATCATTATCTCGTCAGAATAATCGGTCGCGGAGATATAAACTTACTTATATGCAAACTAGCGTATAGTACACGTTAAACACTGCACAAGGTAATGATAATTAATCTGCCTTATTTTTCTAGAATATTCCACAACTGCAAGTCAATAATGAGGCGTAAATATTACAGTTTTGAATGCTTTACGGTGGTATTGTGGCACGAATGGGCAGGCTCGTCCGGGTAAGTACCACGACCTCATAGAAGGCCGGCGTAAAGGAAGTATAATACTTTCGCGTTTCGTCTGGTGACTGAGGTGGCCGGAGCCCAATTTTCAAAAGGTTGTCAACGCATCTGCAAACCCTCGGGTGTAGCAGATGTCCATCGGTGGTGGTATTCACTTAACATCAGGTGAACCACCTGCTCGCTTGGCAACTTTTCACATAAGAAAAAAAAGTATAAAGAACTTGAATTAATTCTGCTGAGCTGATTACACGCACAAAATGAGCGTCAAAAACTAGAATAAGTCAGCGATAAGGATAACAATCTTATAATACAAATTTCCAATGGTAATTAATAAATAACAATTCAAAAACCCACCAAGATGGCGCTAGCGTCGGTAAGGTTTATGTTTATCTGCCTTACCGAGTTTAAGTAACCATAGCTGATAATCCAGCAGCCCAGTTACCATAGCACCACCAATTTAGTGCTTGTGACGAACACTTTATACGAACAGAGATCATCTTACATCTATCCTTCTCTCCCCTCCATAAACTATACGCTCGAACCAAACGCCGTGCCTCGTCGTTAATTATACGTACAGCAAAGGAATCGTATTTATTTCCACCCGAATATAAAGAGGACGTCTCCAAAGAAAGAATGGATAGTTCAAGGAACTTATTTATAATTTACGGTTGCCCGACTTATGGTATTAGGCACAGTATAGCGACGATGGATGGGGATAATAGTTATTCTGCGTTATAAAATACACATATATTACTAAATACTGAAGTTGTATACAGATGTATACCCAAAATTGAGATCCCGAGCAAATAAATGTTATAAAAGTACTTTACCCAAAGGAACACGCCAGTGTGCTAAGTACCTTGTATTAACTGATTTTAACGCTTTCAGCCCCGAGAATACTTTACCCAAAGGAACACTCGCACCAATGTGTTAAATAACTTGTACTAACTGATGTTAACACTCTCAGTCCCGAGACTATTAAAGCTTCATGTAGCCAAAACCCACGGGTTTGAGACCCTACATAGTGGGTAGGGCGTGCGTGCGTTAGCTAAGGAGTGCGTCTACGGGCCATCGAGGCATGAGCTAAGTATGATGTGAACGATTAAACGTGGCTGTAGCATTCGGGAATTTGAAGACGCTCGACGACACAGTGCTCGACGATCTATTTCAATTCGGAAACTTTCTTGGATAGGAAACAGTCTCGCGAGTAGCGAAGCCTCTGAATAGGACCTCTAATAATCATGTGTTCTACGCGCACTCCGATGCCCCTCAATCTAATTTATGGTCTAAGCGCACTCGTCTCAAAGGGATTCATATCCCTAAAAATATATAAATTTACGTGATCACGCAATTTACGTAATATTATGTTATTAGCAGTGAAAAAAATATTTAAACTAGACTTGCGACGGATGCCAAATATTCGGCCGAGTTCTTGGCCGAATAGCTGAATATAAGGCGGGAACACTCCCTTATAGGCTTTGTGCTTTAGCTTGCACAGTGCACACATCCTTATTAATATTATAAATGCGAAAGTTTGTATGTATGAATGGATGTTTGTTACTCTTTCACGGAAATACTACTGAATGGATTTTTAATGAAACTTGACAATAATATAGCTTATACATCAGAATACGACATAGGCTATAATTTATATACATATTTTTATGGTTATCTGTTTCTCTGTCTGAATGTTACGCCTTCAGCCTATTCTACGCAGACGTAATCGCGGGCCGCAGCTAGTAGTAAATATGAAAACACAGAATTTTTAATATGGCCTCTAAAAATACCACCTCTGTGGATGTACTTCGAGGAACACGAAAATTATCTATATATTAAAATGTAGAAAATTAAGTTTTTCTGCTCTATAACATTTCATATCATTATCATTATATAGTATAAAACAAAGTCGTCCCACTGTCTGTCTGTCCCTATGTATGCTTAGATCTTTAAAACTACGCAATGGATCTTGAAGCGGTTTTTTTTACTAGATTGAGTTAGATAGAGATTCAAGAGGAAGGTTTATATTTAAAATACATTGCACCCGTGCGAAGCCGCGGCGGGTCGCTAGTCTTAATTATAATTGGGGTAATCGAGATGATACACATTGTAATGCGGTATGACAAAATTACATAATACTTTTGCTTAGTTTGCGTTTGAATAAAGTGAATGAAATATTTATTATTTCGTATTATTATTATAAAATGAAAAAAATATTTCAATTAAAAAAATGATTTCGACTTTACGTGGAAATTTCAGTTTTTCATTGATTACACTAAAGCTCGGCCATTTCTGCCGTATAAAAAAGAACATTGGTTGACAAGCAGAGGAAAAGCCTTTGGATGGAACTTTTATTCTTTATTACCTCTTCATTCTCCTTCCCTTGTCTGTCTGTCTGTCTTGCAACATGTCCATTCCTTTCATTTTCCTTTTTTTTATGCCAAAAGTTGTCAAACGAGCAGACGGTTCACCTGATGTAAAGTGAATACCGCCGCCCATGGACACCTGCCCCACCCGAGGGTTACAGATGCGTTGACAATCTTTTGAAAATTGGGCTCCGGCTACCTCACTCACCAGACGAAACGCGAAAGTATTTGTCATACTTCCACTTTACGCTGGTCTTCTGTG